AAATGCCCTGTAAACCCCACGGGGGCTGAGGGAGCTTGCAGCCCTCGCTTTCTCTTTCTATGGTCTGGTTTATCGCCGCCTTTATTATTATTATTATTATTTTTTTTTACCTTTATTGTTTAGCAGATTTGTCCCCTCCCTTACGCAAGCCCTGGCCACCCCCCTGGTTGGCTGCGAGCAGGTTCAGTTTCCTGTTGCTCAAAACAGGATTTCCTGGTGTCGAAAGGCTGAATTCGCAGAAGCGCTGGGAGGGAGGATGGCTTTTCTGAAACGCTTCCGCCCCACTCCCCACCCCGCTCCCCGCAAGCCAGGTTCCTCCATGGGGCAGCCAGAAGGAGAGGTGACACCACCCCTCCCCCAGGTCCCCGCTCACCGAGGGGGTCCCCGGCAACGATGCTGTACTCCACTTGCCCACTGGGTCCCGAGTCGCCGTCGTGGGCCAGGAAGGTCCAGACACGGGGGCCGGGTTGCCCTTCGGTGACGTCGAAGGGACCCTCGTAGGGCCGTGGAAAGGTGGGACAGTTGTCATTGATGTCATTGAGGTTCACCAGCACCTGCAGCAGGGGCGAAAGGGTGGAGGGCAGTGAGAGGAGAGGGATGGAAGGGGAGACCAACCTGCAAGCCATGAGCATGGGAAGCCATGGACGGGTGACATCGCAAAATACCTCCTGTATTTCTGGCTTTGCTGGGGTCACCAAACACCCATCTAACAGTTCAGAGACTCAAACTTGGTTATTCCTGATCACAGTGACACTATGAAACTCTGGCCACACACAGGCGGGGCCCTTTTCAACCTCTGGGCCGCACAGCATGACGGAGAAGTCAACGCAAAAGCCAAATGCTCTCTACATTCACATCTTGAACCCCAAGCTGAATAGACAAGAACCACAGATGTGGGTTTGACCACCAAAGCTATGAGTTCAGAGAGACCCTATCTCTGCAGGCAGCCGCGCACTTGCTCACTCCTCTTCCTCCACCAAGGGCTTCGTTCCTAATGCTGAGTAAACTTCAAAAAATTTGCAGCTTGCGGCCTTATTCCAACACAAAACACCACCAACGCTGCTGGCGCGTTTCCTCTCCTAGCATCCCTTCCTACAACACACTTAGCTGGCAAGAAATCAACCCTACAGATCTCAGAAGGGGAAAACATCAACTATTTTAGGACAGAGTAGACCACGGGGCTGCCAGCGAAGCTGGGGAGCCAATGAACTCAAGTCTCGCTTTTTAACTGAGTCACACGACATAGAAGACGTTTATATAGCTCTATCCTACACTATATTGCAAAGAGGGTCATCCCCTTCAGGGAACGCGCACAATGGAGAAACCCTTCCTGAGGAGGAGAGTCTCCAGTGGCTAACGAAAGGTTGAGCTTTGGTGGTATGGGTGGTTATGAGAAAGTTACCGAACATGAGGAGCTTTCTGACCTCCTGGGTTAAAGGACGGTAAAATCCATCAGATGGGCATTTGTTGCTGGCCAAACCTAATCTTTAGAGAAGAGTATATCCAACTCTCTGCTCTGTTTCCTAGCAGTGGAGAAAACAAACACTGGCACGCCTTATCAGGGTGACGGATTTCCCATCACTCAGGATCTTAAATAATCACTAAACCTCCTCCTAAAAGCTACGTTTTCATACGGTGCTGGCACAAACTCCCTGGGCCACGAAGGGAGGGTGTTTCTTAAACCTTTTAGCTTCGGTACTTGTTGCTGAAGGGGTTTCCAAGTTCATGTCTTTTCTTGGGCCAAGAGCGGGGAAGGCTCTGCCTTTGCCTGCAGCACGCCGGCGGCCACTGCCTTCCCTGCTGGCAGTTAAACCCCAGGTCTCGAGGTTTCCGCTGCAGTTTTCCTGGGCCAGGAAGGCATCTCCAGCAGTATCAGATGCAGACTTCTGAAGGCTTCCCATCTGCCCAAGCGTGGAGCACAGCGCTGGCAACTGGCTTGCAGGGACAGATTTTATCCATGGAAATCTCCCACACTGGTATCTCTCTTTCAGTTTCTCTTTTTTTTTTTTTTTTTTTCTTTTTTTCTTTGCACGCAGGAACTTATCTCCTTTTGGGGGACTACAAAATGCTTGGCTTGATATCTGCGTGAGGCATAACAGTCCACAACAGGGAGCCAAGGCAGAAGATCTAACTGATCCCTTCCACCTGCAGACTCCAAAATCAGCCTGGGCATGGACAACGTCTGCCGTACAACCCGTCAAATTTTGGGTTCGGTCACAAAAATAATCAGTGTATTCAACTCCTGCAAAACGTTTGCTTTGGAGCTGCTAGTCTGCCCTCCCCACACTTTGAGCACTGCACTAAGTTCAGGTCACCGTAGTCCAGGAAAAACGGAAAAGCTGTAGAGAAAAGCAACAAAAAATGACTAGAGGCTTTAAATAGCCTCCATACAAGGAATGAAAAAGGAATTTTATAAGCAGATAAACAATGCGAGAAAATAAAGATGAAGCCGAAATTCATGCTGTAGCAATGCTTTACCATCTACTGTCCCTTCAAGCAAGAAGCACCAAGGGGACGTCTGAAGAAAACATAATGCAACCTAAAAGCAATTCTGGGGATTGCTTCTGTTTGTGTCTTTGCAGGACCAAATAACCCACAAGTGTCCCTTCCCCACGTCCCTGTTTTTCAACCCCCATGTGGGAGCGGGGCGACAGCAGCTGGGCAAACTGGCTGCAGCTGGGAAAAGCGACTGGTCACCACTGGGAAAGAGATGTGAAACTGCTTGTGCGAAGGGGAACTCCTCGACCCCGAAGAGGCCGCGGTGTCGCAACCCCGCCGGCAGCTCCCTACCGTGGTGGTCGATGTCAGCCGGCGTGAGACAATGGGGCACTGGTCAGTGGCGGTGACGATCAAGGTGTAGCGCCCATGGCTGATCTCGTAGTCCAGCTCCTTCACCGTGCGGATCTTTCCCTGCAAGGAGAAGGGAGAGCGACCAGGAGTGAAGGGAGCGGGACAGGGACACATCTGGGATGGGGCCGGTATCCTTACTGACCGTGGTGCTGTCGATGTGGAAGGTATCCAAGATGTTGCCTTCGGTGATGGCATAGGCAACCGTGCCGTTGGGTCCCTCGTCCTGGTCCAGGGCCTGCACGGTGACGAGGGTGGCGTTGAGCGTGGCAGGACCTTCGTCAAGGGTGACCTCATACAGCTGCTGCCGGAAAGTGGGAGCGTTGTCGTTCTCGTCCAGGACGGTGACGTACACTGTGGTGGTGGCCTGTGGGACATGGGGACAACGTGTTAAGCATCGTAGAGGGATTGGTTCTACAACCCCTGGAGCTGTCTGGGGAAGGCTGGACCTGTCAAGGTCAACGACCAACGTGGGCTCAACCCTGCCAAAAGACACAAACGGGAATCAGGGCTCAAAATGAAATGAGACGTGGCTGCAGATGCATCTCCAGGTAACGGTTGGGTAGAGAGATAAATGTACAGAGATTAAATCACACCCTTGTTCATAAGCAAAGCACGTCTCTGTGGGATCCCTCTCCTTTTCACCCGGTTTTCACCATTGCTTGTAACACCGGGGAGGAGCCCATGGCAGAGGGAAAGCCAGAGGCTGAACTCCATCATATCTCGCTGACTTTGGAGGAGGCACGTGTGAGTCTTCACCTGACGTTGGGGACACCTTGGTAGTTATTACCGGGGGTAGTGGCATGGTAGGATGGAAAATATCCAGAGATGATGCTGCCATGGCTCAGGGGAGGAACAAAAATGAGCATCTCGGACAACCAGACTGACATCCCACAGGTCCCATCATCTACCTGCTGACCACAATTTCAGCACCGGTCAGGCTCAGCCTGTCCTGACCCTCTTCCAGCTCTATCTGGCCCCGCACAGGCACCTGGATGTCCTTACTGAAGGTTGTCTTCTGGCTGTGTCACCATGGGGGCACACCTGGGGATGGGGAGGTGACAAGAGCGTGCCACCCTGCCTAAGGACTCAACTCAGAAATGGGGTCTTGGGATGATAAACCATTTTCTTGGACTCCCTGGACTTTGTGCTCACGCCTTCTCCCAGCAACAAATTCCTTCCAGCCACACGAGGGTTACCTTTTTTTTGATGAGAGCATCACAGACACGTTTGCTGTAAAAACCACAAAGCCACACCGTAATTAGCTACTTTTCTATTTCCTTGCACACTCCAAGTTCAGAGCAGGTTAGCAGCAAAGTTGCCTGCGGTTCGCAAACCTCCACGTGTCTCCAGGCTCCGCTTTCCAGAGAACACCGTTTCGAAAGGAGGTGGCCCTCAGCTGCTGCTGGAGATTTCCTTGATGCCTTTTGAATTCGGAGGGAAGCTCCGGGAGGAGTTAAGTGAATCAGCTCACGGTACCACTTTGCTATTCGAGGGCAGAGTAAAGGTGTCGTCCCCCCCGTGTATATGGCCTGCAGGATGCTTTGCTCCCCTTTTTTTGGCAGGAAAGCTCCGTTCCTTTCCCCAAGCTCTGAGTTACCCTTCCCTGTGCTGCCTCCCGTTCATCCCAGGAGGGTTTCTGCCTTCTTAATCCTCCCAAAGGTGGGAAAAAAAAATAATTCCGAGCAAAGCCCACTTTAGTGAAGCAAGCTGGAGATCGGTCCCGAGGGATGGGCTCCCGCCGGGCGAGGGATGGGGACCAGCACCCGCACGTCCCCCCGGCACAGCGAGCATCCTCCTCAGTTACCTCCTGCGCGCCCCGAAACGGCACGCGTGTTATAAGGTTAAAAAAACCAGCAGATGCACCCGACGCTGCCCAAACGGGTGGGCGCTGAAGTGCCACCCATCTGTGGGGTGCCCATTTGGGGTGCTGCCCCTATCTCCTTCCCCCCCCAAAAAAACCCCAGCCGCCCGCAGCTCCCTGCCGCATCTCACCTCCTGGGGGTGCTCGCAGTTCTCTCCATCGCTGCGTGCCATATGTCAATGAAATTTCCTGTGTGTGTGCGAGTCCGGCTGCGGCTGCGGGGCTGCTCGGAGGCTGCGGACGGCTCCGCGACAGGCCAGCTTCCCCGCTGGCCCCCCCATAAGCCGCCATGGAGGCCACGTCTCCCCGGCCTGGGCTACTGCTGGTCACGCTCTGCCTGCTCGCTTCCCACGGTAAGTTGCCTGCTCGCTTTCCTCTCCTCCCTGCCCAGAGAAACTCTCCCAGCTCAGCCAGCGCCGCGCTCCTCCCCGGCACAAGGAATTAGAAGCATTTTGGGGGGGGGTATTTACTTTCTCACCCTGCGATTTCAGAGTCGCGGGGATCAAGCCAGCGTTTCACGCGATGCTGGTTGTGTCACGGGGAAGGGTGGAAGGGTGTCCCCCCCCCTCCTGCCCCGGGGGGAGCTGCTGTTTTAAAACTCTGGGATTTGGGTTTTGTTTCTTTTTCCTTCTTCCTTCGCTTTGATCTAACGTGCGTGGAAGGAAAGCAGCCACAAAACCCCCCACACACACACCGTGTCCCTGCCAGCCGGCGATCCCGAGCTGGAAAAGCCACCCAGCTCCCGCACGGTGCTTTGCCCCGGCGCTGCGGAGGTCCCCCCCCGGCCACACAGCCACCCCACGCCGCGCTGGAAGGAGCCTTTTGTCAGCGCCGGGGGAGCGGAGAGAGGCGGTTTGTGTGAGCAGGGCTGGGATGCCCTCTCTAAGGATGCTCCGCTCTGCCCTAATCCCTGGGATGTGCTTCTCCGGGTGGGCGGCCACCTGGGCCAGGACCACCGTGTGCGGCCACTGAGTTTCTCCTCCCCTGAGCGAGCGATTCCCAGTGCTGGAAGCACGCCGGCTCCCGGGATGCTCTGGGATGGGGCTGCTTCATGCCTGACTCCGCACCAGCCCTGGCAGGTAGCGTTTCTGTACCAGGGCTGCAGGGCAAGGTGGGTAAACGAGGGCGGTGGCAATTAAAACCGCGGCTCATCTGTGGCTGAAGTGTCAGTGAAGGAAGCTGGGAAGGACCGTGGTCCCTCCCTGCCCTGCGCGGGGCGGAGGACGAGCATCCCTGTCGGGCTTCTCTCTCTGTCCTGGGATGGCAAAGTGACACTGCCGCCAGGATTTCTGCTGGCACACGCCGAAGGAGAAATGATGGGAAATGTGGCAGCGGGTCCCTTCTCCTCGGTCCTCCGGGACAGCAAGGCTGGTGAGGATTGAAGTGTGCTTCGCTTCTCAACCGAGCCTCGCGACACCAGGCAGCGATTCCCACGATCTCCACGGGGCTTTGGATTATTTCTTTTACCCATCTGGGGTGCTGGGACCGAGCGTCAGGCCTTCTGCAACGTGCCAAGTTTGGACACCGATGTTCAACACGAGCCCTGAGGAACTGAGCTTCATGCAACCGTGCGCCTGCCAAAACTTTCGGAACCCCCGGCTAATTTTAGCCCGGCTTGATGGAGAAGTAGAACCCTTGGAGACACGCGGCTCCTACGCGCTTTGGAGATGCTGGCAGCTAGGAGGATGGGGAAGAGGCTCCTCTCCACCCAAGGGATGGCAGCTGAGCCGGGCTTTCCAAAATCACATCCCAAGAGCGAACCTGGTGGGGTGACCCCATCCCCGAGCCAGCGCCGTGCTGGAAGAGGAGCAAGGCAGGACCCTCCAGCGGCTGCAGGGAGATGAGGGCCGTTAACGTGGGCATCTGGCTTCTTCACTAAGTTTTTTCTTGTGCTTGTGCTAAGGTATGGATGCCCCTGCACATCTCACCCGGCTGATAACTCTGAAGCATAACGACAGCGCGGCGACGATGGGGCTTGCGGCGCTTTCATGTGTGGCTGTTACAAAAGCTGTGAGAAGAGGAATTAAAGCTGGATTCCTTGCTTCTGTAAAGTCACAGGAGTGTAAATCACACACCTGCTTGCCAAAGCCGGGAACCAAAGTTAGGAGAAGCAGCCACGAGAGGCTTTTGGTCACTGACCCAGAATTTGGCATGGAATCCTGTTTTATTTGAGCTGTTGGTCGGCGAAGCAACACAGGCCCCTCGCCATTAGCGCTTTTTTGCGGTTTGTTGTCTCTGAAAGAAGAGCTTTTGGGTTTGGGCAGTGGTGCCGGCACTGGGGATGCACCAGTGCTGCCGCGGGTTCTATGCCACAGCGATGCGACGCTGTGGGTCGGAGCTGAAAGTACTGAGGTGCCAAAGGGGCACTTTTGGCACCCGTTTGAGCCCTCTTCTGTCTTTACCAGCTGGTGACAAGACGACAGCTCTTTGGCTTGGACCTCGACGGGTCCAGCGCTTCCCCAGCTCTCGGCTGGAGCTGCGTGGAGCCGGGCATCTGGCTTTATTTTGGCATTTGCCAGTGGAGTTGACTTCAAAGGGAATGGTCCGACTGGGATGGGATGGAGCCAAACCTGGGGTCTGGGCATGGAAGAAGGGAAGATTAAGATCCACCAGCTTTACTGTGAAGACGCCGACAGAAGATGTTTCCTCCGGGCGCCAGCTGGCATCTAGCACGGCTTTAAAGCTTCGTTACACCTTGGGGAGGGCCCAACAACCTCCCTGGTGCTGCTACGGGGCACGTCTCGCCTCGCCAGCTCTCCTCCCCAGCTGTTTTCTCCTCCGCTCGACAGCTTTTTGGAAGCCTTCCCCTCGCTCGGGAGGAAGAAGGGAAGTCGGTAATGCCGCCGAAGGCTTCGCACACGTGGTAACCTCTGCCCCTCCCCGCGGCTGGGCTGCGCTGCCAAAAGCGTGGGCTCCAGTCGACTTTCCATCCAGACGATTCCCATCAAAGCCCCGGAGATGGAGGCTGGATGGTTTAGCGAGGCACGGCTTTGCAAACTGCGCGGGGACGAGCGGGACGGCCCCGTTTTATTTATCGGGGGTGTGTGTGTGTGTGTGTAGGGCGGGTGGTGGTGGAAAACAAAGCCTCCCGCAGATACTTTCGCAAGGTGTTGGAAGCGCGGCTTCCTCCAATAGAGCCCTGGCTTCCCTTCCCCTGGCTCCCTGGGGACCCCCCATGTGAATGGGGCACTTCCCGCGGCGGCAGGTATCGAGAAACACATCTGAGGTGCCTCTCTGTGCTCGGCGGCGCCGGCGAGGAGGTTGGGGGACCCGCTCCGCTGCCTGCCAAAAACCACAACCAGCCCAGCCCCACCAGCATCCGAGGATGGGGGCTTCAAAACAAGCAGAAACGGGGCCGCGTTGAGCTCAGGCCACACAAACCTCCGCCCCAGGGCGGCCCCGGGGATGTTTTGCCGCACGCGCCGTGCTATTCCTACAAAGCATCCTCGGAGGTGGGCTGCTGGGACCGGGGGCTGTTCTTACGGGGCTTAGACATCACCGTCATCGTAAAAGGCAAGAAATAGCCATCACGAGGGGAGGGAAGGAAGAGCGTTTTCGCTTTCGCTCTCTCAGGTGGAACCTCGTGCCGGGGCAGTGACCCTGCAGGGAGGAGGATGCTCTCCGGGTGATGGGGAGCCTCTCGCCCAGCTGGATGGCTTGCGGGCAGGCGCAGCGCACCCCCACCGCTGATTGACACCCCGCTCGATATAGCAAGCGAAAAACCTCAAAGCGAAACGGTGGCGGAGCTAATGGCACAACAGGATGTTACCAAAATAAGAGAACATCTCGTCCTCTTACCATCTTCTCTATTGCAAACCAGCCCCGGGAACCTCCTTTTCTCAATAATTTAAAGAAAACGAACCTCCCCCCAAATCTGCTTTTTCTTCAGCTTTCCAAGGTGATAGTTGCACTTTTGCAAAGACAAACACTCGCCCATCTTTGCTCTTTGCTCTCCCCTCACGCACAGTTCCCCTTACCCACCAGTACCCGCTGCCGGCGTGCTGGGACAGGACCAGTAACGCCGCAGTACGCCCCTCTGCTTCCCTCCGCCCCCCCCCCAACAGTCTCCTGTGCCTCCGCCAGGCTTCCTGCCCGCCTTCTGCAGCCGGCGGCGCTCAGGGATTTCTCTCTGAAAACTGTTTTTATTTTCAAGCAGCTCCTCGCCGTCGCCCTTGGCCAGTTCCCCCTTCTCCTCCCCAGGGGTTGAAAAACAAGCAGGGTGGGACCCGCTCCCCGCCTCATCTCGGGGAGCACGGGCTCCTCCTAACTATTTTCTTTCTATTTTTTTCTCCTTTTTTTCTTTTTTTTTTTTTTTTTTCCCCCCAGTCGGCTCAGCAGCACTTTCTGCCCAACTTTGCAGGTGCCCCCTAAGCCCGGTGCAGACCCCCCACCTCCCCTGCGCTGCCGGGCAAACCTCTGCCTCCCCGCTGTTATTAAAACCCGATGCTCAGCTATGTTTAAAGCGCGCCTCTCCTCCAGGGATTATTCCTAGGGTGAAGTTGCGCTCCCAGTCCTGCTGGGATGCTGCTGCAGAGCAAGCCACGGGCTCACGCCGCACTCCCCATCTCCCTTCACTGGGGATACTGGGAGCTCACGAGTTTTTCCTCGCCCTAAGGGCATGGGTGAAGTCTTTTTGCCCTCTGCCCCTGGGCTGGTGTCGATGTTCTCCCATTGCTCTCCGCAACCCTCAGCCATCCCTCCGCCGGCGTCGGCGGTGCGGTTGGCAGCGCTTCTTTTGGGGAGGGATCCTCGTTTTGCTCCGAACTGAGGGTAAGCCCAGGGCTTGTAGGGTCTGACTCTGCCATCGTGCCTTTTTCCCGCCAGGAGGGCCGGCAGCTTTCCTGATCACCACTCCATACACGCTCTGCGTCTGCCCCGAGGGCCAGAATGTCACCCTGACCTGCCGGATCAGCGGTCCCCTCGCCGACCGCCATGACCTCCTCTACAAAACCTGGTATTTCAGCAGCAACGGCGACCAGAGCTGCTCTGAGAAGAAGCACATCCGCAACGTCACCGAGAAGGAGCTGCACCACGACCTGGGCAGGCACCACGAGCCGCCGCGCAACGGTACCCAAAAATCCTCCCTCAGGGGGCAAGCCAGCCATCACGGGGTGGAGTTTGTCCCCGACCACCACGGTGCCTTTCACATCGTGGTGATGAACCTGACGCTGCAGGACAGCGGGAACTACTGCTGCTACGCCGTGGAGGCCAGGTGGGAGCACGGCAAGCCCCACACCCTGCAAGTCGCTCACGGCTTTGTGGAGCTGCAGATCCAGCAAGGTGAGGATGGGGAGAGGGTAAGGGGAGCCCCGGCCGTTCCTGCATCCATTTCGGGGTGACGAGGCGGATAAGGGGTGGTGGGGGATGCTGGGGTGCAGCATCGAGGCTGGGGAGGCACGGCGTGCTGATGCTGAAAGCCCAAGCCACACTGATGAAGTCGAAGAAGAACAGATGTTGAAGGGTTGAATTAGGGCCAGAGAGCATCAGAACATTAAAAAAAAAAAAATTAAAAATAAATAAATCAAGAGGCTGGAATGCAATAAAATCCATGCTACATAGTTTCACTGATCTTCTTCAACCCCTTTCTGGAAGAGAGGAAAACAAACCTCAAGATAAAAGGAGCTGGCTGGTGGTCCAAGCCCGAGTGAGGGCTGCAAGGCATTGCTCGGGGTGCAGGGCTTGTAGATAATCCCAGGCCAGCAGCCCAGCAAGGAAAGCTGCCCAGGGAGGCACGAGATGGAAGGGAAAGCATCGCCTGCCCTTGATTTGCAGTGTTAGGATAGATAATTTTTCTTTTAGACCAAAAATAAGAGCCTGCA